ATCCTGAACAAAACGCCACCCACCGCGTCTCTGAGTGCACCGCCCCCACTCATTCCCACACTGGGCGCCCGGCCCGGCTCGCCCAGACGGACTACTCCCCTGGGCACAGATATCAGAGACAGAGCGGCTCACAAAGACATCGAGGCGCGGTGAGCAGACGCGGTGGCCCTGCAGCCCCGTGCCTCACCAACACTGAACTCACAACCAAGCACTTAGCTTTGGCAAAGCAAGACTGTAACATAGCTGTGAATAATTTATGTGGGCACACAGATGCCCATGCAATGAATCGTTTTTGTATAAAACTACAAAGAGACAATAATCATGGAACAAAAAAAAGCTTTTTTTCAGAGATTTTGTTTTCCCGTTTTGCTCCAGCTTTCCGTGTGCATTCTTTCTCTTGTATAGAAAAGTGATGTGGAGTCAGAATGAGCAGCTTTGGATTGTACAGGTACTTTAGCACTGAGTGTGTAGATAATGTGTACAGTCGCTGTGCTCGCCCTGTACGGATTCAAATTCATGGTACAAATATGCAAAAGAGTGTTTCGAAAGCTTTACTTTGACAGATGTAAATACAGGAGTATGATTCAGAATGTGCTTTTTGCAATTTCTTTTTCGTTTGGTTGACGCAGGTGATTCGCATTGTACCAGATCCCCAGATTCAACTATGCAACAAATGTCTCGGTTCCCTTTCTGAAAGCTGGCCTTCAACACTACTGACTGCGTGCCACTGTGTACCATTCAAGGACTGTATTCTCTCCACAACGCAGACTTGACATTAACTTTGCGTCCGTGCTGACAGATGCAGCTTTAACCGATCCGCACAGGGTTTCAGATTCTCATTTAACAAAAACAAAATGATTTTTGTCTTATAATCTGTGGTGACAATCCCATTGAACTGAATATTAAATTGTGATGTAAAAAGCCAGCAGCACAAATGTGTGGATGGATTTTTTTGTTGTCCTCTTAGTTAACACCAGTCTTGTTCTGGGGAGAATGCAGCGCATTAAACACCATGACGGCACGTTAGCCCTAGCGGAGGAGTGTAAAGTACATGTTTCTGTTGGTCAAACAGTGTATTAAAGTGCTTTCCTAAGTTGTTGTACCTACAAAATCAAAATACAAAAAAAGCAAGTCTCAACCATGGACGGTTTGTTTCTAACAAGCAGAGATCTATTTTAGTAGTCCACTGAAGGTTTAGTTGTGCGCTTCAAACTCTGTGATATCATGTCGTGCAGTGTTTTTTAATCCAACATAAAATTGTCCACCCGAGCCATAGTGGTTAGTCGATACGTATCGCAAAAAGATTGTTCAACGAGAAACCTTTTGCTGTTTACCGTGTACAGGGGAAAAAACGAAGTCTTTCTAGATCGTGTACAATGAGAAAAAATGAAGCGACTGAATCTTCAGCATGCTCCTCATTTAAACTTGTGTTATGTAAATTGTGCCATGTTATTAAAAAATGTGTACTAACCCTGTGTTTGGGTGTTTATTTCTCCGCCTTTGCACAGACACCGTATGTGACGTGTCCTGGCTCCACTCCTCACCCACCAGTGTTTTTATAGCGCGACAGGTTGTGTTGCCATTAATATTTATTTTTTTAATCCTCTGTCACGTACAGCATGTCACATCCCTGCTGATGTAGGAGAAAACTTGATGGTTACCCCAGAATTGTGAATTCATGAGCAGATGCAAGAGTTATTGGCATTACACTGAGTAACTACAGGTTGGTGCCGCCGCCTCTGACTGATGTTTGGCACTGAGGCGTGTGGGTGCATCAGTCACATGCTGGTTGACTGACTGCTTTTATTTCCTCAAAGTGAATGCCTCCTGCCCCCGGGACCAACGCTGCTTTTCCTCTCAGACCTGCACGTATGAAATGATATAGTGCTACAGCATGGAGGGTAATTCAGCCTTCGGACCAGCAGAGGGCGCCAAACTGTAAGAAGTCTTATAGCATGGATGAAACTCTTTAGACAAACCACTACTCTGCGTAAGAGCTACAGTTTGACAACTACTGTCAAAGAAACGCAGGTTGGCTTATAAACCAGCCTGAACCATGTCTCAGGACCAACACATTCAC